ACCGGCACAACGATCTTGCATGGAAGTGGACTGCGTGGCGCATCCTTAAAAGGAGTCGACAACGCCGACTGCTGCCCATCCTTTACTTCTATTGTCGCAAGAACCATTCTAAGCGAGCAATGTCTTCATGTGTTTCCCCTGACGTCATTCAATCCTGTGCGTGGCCGCCTTATCAGCTTATCAGTGCTAGTTGAACATTTACTCCAGAAGTCGACTTTCATTCCTTTGCTGTCACTAAAATCCGTACCTACAGAATGAGGTTGGGTTTTTACATTCACCACGTACCATTCTTTTTATTTTGCTTGAAAGGCATCTAGCATCAGTATGCCTCTACAAAGCACTATCGATACAGTGAGCGAGTGGAGACGAATCGATTAGTCGTCTTATTGATAAGAGTTCCGTTTACTCATTCTTTGCCTTATTTCGTCAATCTCCACCTATTTATGAGTCCCGCAGGCTTACGAGGTGGAGATGGTTGGTTTGAGGAGAGCAGAAGAAAACAAAGTTTTTCTTTTTGATGCTTACTTGTTCAATTACTCCTCTTATAGCAATTTTTCCACAATTATTAGGAAGCGAGAGAAGCACCCATATTTTACGAAAGCATGCTGAAGCTTCTGACTGTACGATATATCTCCTGCTCCGTAATACGATTACCTATTGCCCTTCTCCGCCATATTTGATTTCAACAAGGAAACCCTACAGAAAAACAAATCCAGTGGAAGGTTTTGGGCTAAGTTTAAGTGTTCAAATACTGCTTCAACGCCCGTAATTGGAGGATAGCGCAAGAAAAGCCGCAGGATTTTTCTCGAAAGTGTGAGGCATCAGCTGTTCCCTGCAGTTTGGAGGGGGTCGTTGTGTTTCCCGAAGTTTCTCCATTTCTGGAAGCCTCTACCATTCCAAAGGCTGCGAGACAGTTACAGTGTTCATTAACAGTTCATCAAACTGAAGGCATGAATGGTCATTGCAAACAAATCTCAGAGCTCCATATTATGCTGCTTTTCGATGCTTGAACCAACGAAAAAATAAAAACTGTTTGATGCGCCACGTTTTCGACTTTTACTCGGACTCCTAGAGGCACTTGAATGCACGCGTTGTGGGTATCGATGGGATCTGATCCATAACGGAGTTTGTTGTTATTTTGTCGAGCAATGCTTGTCTCATTAGTCCAACCAAGAAAAGGTAATATGGACTACGAAACTGATAGAGATAAATGGGATTTCGCTATTTGATCATCTCCACGGTTAACACTACCTTTGAAAATATGCATATGTTCAATCGCAGATATCTCCCCATCAAATATTTATCATCATGTGAACCTATTTCGTGACCAAGTGACATCCATCATAGCTGTTCTGTTTTTGAAGGCTACGCGATCAGAATATGGCCATAATGGCTAATCGTGAGAATTGCAAAGCAAAAGAGCAAAATCTTACTGCAATATCTTATATTTTTTATTTTATGGTTTCATATTTTACGATATTTCCATTTCCTTCAAAAATATGCCCTGGTTGGTACGCGGTTGCTCCCAAAAACATATAACCCCAGAGGAGGTAAGAGAGCCCTATAATATTCAAGTAATTAAAAGGATACATTTGCAGCGCAATAAATGACTGTACTTCGAGATAGGCCCAATAAGAATGAAATTTTCTGTTCCAGGGAAAATTCTACAATAGCAACGACTTGTAAGCTTCGAGATAGTCCCGAATAAGAATGAAATTTCTGTTGGTCAGGGAAAATTCTACATCTATAAATGGATCTCAGAAGGATGCGCTATACGACAGCTATTCGGACTCGACGGAGGTTTGAGATTCGCTTTGTTACATTCGAATTATGAAGACAATTATGGTACTTGACAGGGCAGAGGTGGTAGGATGGGCGAAAAGGCGCCACTCACGAGGCATGGCTTGGAAACAAAATCCAGGATCAGGAACCTTGCCCAGGTCTAATCACGCATCGAGAGCTGGGGGAGATTTAAATAGTCAGGGACTCGCTAGAGGAAACAGGAGCATGGATTTGTACGCCAGCTGGTCCCGCAAGTAATTGTCTAAGCCTGGCCAAAGGACCTAGTCTATGGGCTCTTCTTCCGTAAACGACCATGACCGCTACCGGGAAAATGCCTTTGAAATCATCTTTCCAGATGCGGAATCAGACGCCATATCCACTGAAAGCTACTCTTAGAAGCTATTCTTACTTCAGTCGATGTGGTCGGTATGATATATGCGAGCCATACGTTGAAGGCACAGTTCGGATTCAGGACCATCTAGAGGCCCTTACAGGTGGCTAGAAGTGTAGTACGCAGATCGTGCAAAATGGTTAGCGCCTTTCTACATCGAAACCCGTCACAGGACCCTAGGCGCCATGAACTTCTAACAGACTCCACCAAACATAACATGGTCCGCCCACCGTTCGATATCTTGTCTGCGTCGCTGCGTTGATCTGCTATGCTCTCTCTTCTCGGACTTCTCTACCGCTCTCCGCGCTCACATTATCTCTCATCTCCCTGCCTGTCTTTTGAACTTCTCCACAGCAGAGCAAAATGCTCGTATTTCCTGTGTATTTCAGGATTTTCTTTCCTTTTTTCTCCACTGGCGGTCCACCTCCCATCCCTACTTTCACATTTGAGTGGAATCAACCCCATCAATTTAATCCTGATTCTTGCCTTTAAGCCAACTAGGGTCGAAAAGAAATACGTGATCGACTTTTCGGTAAAAGAAAACTCTTACATATCTCCCAATTCAGGAGTATGGACGTCGGCTGAGCTGTTCATGTCTGCCTTGTTGTATGGAAGAGGAAGAAGCGGACGCTTTTGGTCATCACGTCTCCATTTTTATGGTGGCGCTTGTCGCATTTGCCACATTTTTCTGCGTAACCCTGATACTAGTGCTAGTTTTACTACTAGGTAACAAAACCTGATTGTAACTTGTAGATATATTATGTCCGAGTCGAGGTAGAAATGACTGGATCCAGAGGCGGAGGCGCTTTTTTCGGGCTGACGTCAAATTAATGTGGCCGATTTGTTTACGGATGTTGGCTACCCTGACCAAATTTCGGCGTGCTGAGGGATATGATTCACCAACGCGTCTACTGACGTCATCGAAACCATTCCGCTTTTCAACCATCTATTTCACTGCCTCGAGGCATAAGGCAATTTTGGTTGGGGGGGGGGGGGGGTGCTGGAGACAGAGTGCGGAACAGCTTTCAGCCACTGAAACGATGATCTGGTGCACGATCATTGGGTGGTGGCTCCTGGTACTTTAGCCGTCAACACGACCCGTGGCTTCGGTGTCCCCCAAGAGGCCCATCGCGCGGGCGAAGGAAGAGACGCAGACGCGGCAAAGGACGAGTCGCAGCGCATACTGTGGCGGTTAAGGCGCCAGGTGAAATAGAGTGTACCATACTACGTCTCATATCGCACAGCACGCGCTGCGCGCCCATTTCGCCGCGTGCTGCGTCCTTCCTTTCGCCGTGGCAGGATCCTCTTGAATGGGACACCCCTGGCTCTAGCTGGTACTTTAGTTGGAGCGCTTTTATCAGGAACGGACATATGAGTGCTTTGCCTTTGGGAATAGACGTTACTTTACCCAGACTACGCCGATATGTGTAGTTATCCTCCCTACTTTGTGTTTTGATCGATACAAGTCTAGTCCTTTCATCCACACTACGTACCGTGAGAGTCCTTATTTATCAATATTAATACCCTTTCCCCTTTTTTATAGTGTATGTGTGTGTATTGTATGTAATGTTATGATGTTGTACAATGTGTTTGCGCTGGTGTATTTTGGGAGGTGTTGGTTCTTTATATTCTGATGTAGTTGATAGTTAAGTGTATGCGGGAAAACATTAGCCATTAACCCAACTTCCTTCAGAAAGTAATAAACCGGTGGTTTGTAAACCACAACAACGGCACTGTACATGTGAAAGTGCTTGGTCAAGTGCTGTGACGCAATTGTGAAACTGATTCGTATTACTAAGTACTACCTATTACTACTTTATACAGTACTAGAGGTAACTGTTTTAATAATTTCTAAGCCACTTTCGTTCCCACGGATGATTGTCGAGAAGGTTGATGTGGTTGGTTTTCTGATTACGCAGCAGATTAGTTAAATCGTTGTAAATTACAAATAAAACCAATTGCAAAGAAAAAATCTGTGGCAATCTTTCCGATTTTATCATTCCATTGCCTCAAGCTATTATTTATTACTGACTTTCTTACTTGTCATGTTCATTATTGTCTTTCTTAGGTGTTTTAGTTTGATACATGAGGTATGGACCTTTACTCTGCCACCAATCGGCGGCATTTCTATTTTTTGGTGTTTGTGTTTCGGTAGGTAAGATGCTACTATCACTCGAGCGGTAACATATATCACTCAGTAAGGAAGAACGTGATTTATCTGAAAGCAATAGGAATTTTCTGTTTTCGAGGGGAATCTGTAGAGTGAAGTAGCTCTGACTGTTTTGGGATGCGGCCCGCAGCTTTTATTCAAAGTTCTAGAAGCTTTCAGGAACGCATTCAAGCTACACGATGTATACGATGTTTGTGGTGAGTAACACTGATGTACCTTCCTTCAAAAGCGGCCCGCGAGAAAGGTCTCTGTGAGTGATCTGGATTGAGGGTTGGCCACAAGTGACGACTGCCTCCACAAAACGTTAAATGTTTTCTACCAATGAAATGATTGGCCTGTTGCAGTTGTAATCTATCGATTGTCCCTAATTACAACTATCATTTGTAGAAATCAACTATCACTGTGACAACTTCTAAACCAGATTTACTGAAGGAGGCCGTCAGTTGTTTGGTCTGATCGACAAATTCTCGCTTTTTGAACGGCGGATGTTAGATGTTGCGGACCAGTATGATGCGCTTGATGACTTGATATTAGAAAAGTCCTACCCGGCCTGACGCAGTATTCTGCTGACTATTGAGGATTACTTACGATCAATGAATTAGATTACACATTCGTTATGCCTCTAACTACTAGGAGAAAGGTTACTTGCCCGGCTCGGGTCAAGTCAAATTCAGTACTCTGCCAGCCCCGGTAAACCTTAGTCCCAGACTCAGACTTGGGGAATGGTAAAAGTTGAGTTAGCGTACTCTCGTATCGAGATGTGGGTAGCGGCAAATTTCGTGGAGGCGACTCTCTCTTCGATGACGGCTAGCTTCCCCTGATCGCTGCGGCCGCTATCATTTTTACTCGGCACACGCAATGTCTGCGCCCTCTCGCACAACGTCCTCTCTCGCCTATTCCCTCTCCTGACTGCGTTGTCTTTCCGTCCTAGCACATCAACAAGAAAAGGGGGCCTTCAATTTCAGTGCTTTCTATGGCTTCATTTGTTTTTTTCTGACTTTTCTTACTCACGGTGCCCTTTACCCCTCTTCTTCCATTTTCGAGCGGAATAATACTCTAGCTCGTGCCTTTAAGTTCTTAAGTGGCGGAAAAGCTCGACTTTCCAGCCGATTTCATCGCGAATTCAATGTGCATACCAAATTCCCATGACTGAGCGGATCTCATGTACGTGGCATAGCCTAGAGCCATTCCTAACCAGTGAATAATTTTTCGTTGCTCTCCCACGTACTCATTTGTTTACATCGTCACTCATACTATGAACATATTTTATGCGAAGCTCGTCCATCATTCATCTAATTTATGCATAACTAACAAACGGCGTCATAGCGCTACCCTTGAACGCAACAACTAAATAAATAACAGGATTGGGAAAAAAGGGGTCGATGTGAAGCAAATCCTTGAGGATACGCCGCGCATCTCCACTCCTTGCTGGGTAGCACCTTACTGTATGTAAGGCCTATGACTTCCAAGGCTGAGCAGAACGTGGCTCAAATTGGTAATTTCAACGTAAGCCTTTATACTTTTTAAAGACTGCAATTTGTCCACATTTTGAGACCCAGAACGGAATTGCGCGTTATTTGAACGAGTCACTCCTGGTCATAGGAACGCTGAGCTATAGGGAATAGACGCTGGGGGGAGGGGGTTAGCACAAGATTCAGGTCCACCCTTGAGCTTTCTTGCCACTCTGATCATTCGCTACCCCACGCCCCTTTTTTGTCGGAAGAATTCACTGTTTTCGTACAATTGGATATATAATTACAGTTGGGACCTGCTCATTGGGCACGTGGTAAATAAACAAATAAATAAATAAGTAATACGCAATAAAAGCTGGAAACAGCTGTGAGTGAAGCAAAGGCAACGGATTATAAATTTTTCTGAAATCTGAACATTATGAAGGATTCTGCCAAATTTCTAATAAGCAAACCACCGTTATATGTGGTCACGCAAGGAAACCATCGTCAGTGGTCAAGCTCAATCATGGCTACATCTTCAGTTTACTGCTTATAGAATGGTCGCTTACCTGAAGCGATATGTTCATGTGAAGATGAAGATCCTGCTTGTCAATTCCATAAACGCGATCTTCTTCCACGTCCAGATTCAGAGTCGATTTTTTGTCTGTAAACAGTTGATGAATACGAGAAACAAGAGGCAGTATGTTGGTAGATGTTCAAGGCTTTATTAGCTGTGCCATGTATCCCACTTCCTTTCAGAATCGCCGTTATGGTTGAATGCCACTCGAATGATTTAACCAATGGCTTGCGCGATGGATTTATGTGTAATCTAGTGTTGAGTTTCTCTAAACGAGCCTGGTACTAAGCGACGTACCACGAGGAGGTGGTAAGGCCGTGTTTCTGCCAACTAGGACTTGGCGCGTAACGTAAGACCCGGCGCATCGATAGTCACTATGTATATACCGTAGTCAAACCGCACTTTACCATTGAAACTATGGACGGAATACTACTCCAGACTTGGGATCAAACTTACTATTTTTGTCGGCTCTATACATTATTAAACGGGAAAGTATTTAACTCAATGCAACATTTTGAAATGATACTTTCGGCTTTGGTAAGAGAATTTAGCCTGAAAAAGTTCCTGTAAAAAGATGCAATCTTAAACTTTCAATCCAACGAATTTGATTCAAGTGGTCCCAGCCCCTTCACGAGGTACCTTACCCATTCTGAATCTTTCAGAAGTATTAGCGTGGTTTCATATTTCTGTTATTTGGTGGGGTGGAGTTGAAGCAGCGGCATATAGCGCTGCACAGTAGAGGCGTAGATCAGAACAGGGCAGAATCTAGTTAAGCGAAATCAAGCCTTCATGTCCCGTGAGATTGATTTTATTTGCTCTAAACTGCCCTGGAAAGAACAACGAGGATGCAGGGCCTTTTTTTTTCTTGTGAGATCAACCCGTGGATTACATCAAGCGAGAAGCACCCGCAGCGCAGGAGGGAGGGCAAATGCGTTCAAAGTACTCGATCTTCGTACGACGTAGGGCATCGAGTCACGCTTCTGCGAGGGGGTTTCGTTATTTCACTAGTGAAAATGGCAGCGGCGTTGCAGCCAGTATAGAGGGGAGGTCTTTTCTGTTCTTGTCACGCACCGTTCGAGCTCGCAACACTGCCACGAACCCTGTGCATAGGACCCCTTTACTATTTTTGAGGAGAAAAATCTCTCTAAGGATTTGATCATACAGTGCTTTGATCGCGCTCTACGCACAAGATGAAGATCTTTGCTGTGAATTTAGTGCTATTTACGACCAGGCCTGATCTTGCACAAGGAGCCCGTTGACGGTTATGACAGTGCAATGAGTTTCGTTTCGATCAATTTACTGGAACTTGATTAAGTTGAACGTCATTCGGACGTGGAGGGTGCGAAGAAGCAGGTTTGCATCAGCTAATGAGGCCCTTACCCAGGTATGGAAAAGAACGAAAAGAAAAAAACGAAAAAAAGAGACAAAAGAAAAAATAGTAAATAAAATAATGTAAAATAAGCATACATAAATAGATTAAATGAAGTTACGTCTTATTTAGGTGCTCTGCCCTAAAACGTCCCACTCACTGGGATAGCGTCTGTAACTTTTAATAATTGAAGAACAGAATTTCACAGACCTGCTCGGCAACGTCCTCTGAGAAACACTTCACCCATGGAGCACTTGCACATTCCAGAGAACGCGTCAATCGGCTCACAAACAGCTCCTATCTGAAAAACAAACTTGTCTATTTATTTGTTTATCTTTACTTATTTACGTTGCGTACAGGGTACACCCACTGTTGACAAGAAAGCTAAAGTGTCAGCAATTTTGTGCAAAGGATAAAAAAGGAAAAAAGATTTTAAAAGGAAATAAGCAAGTAAAGTAAACATAAAGTAGTTACTACAGCAAAATAATGTACTAATATATTATTGTGACCTGAGAACAAAAATTCGTAAAAAAGCTCACCGCTTTGCAGTCGCTGGAAGATGTACAAGGTGGAAGATACTGTAAGACAGAGCTGTCTTTTTCTCGGTTGCTCCTTTCACGAGGTTCTGACGAATCTGAAGTACTCTCTAAGAAATAGATCTATTACCTATACATATAACTATTGCATTTTTATTTATTAAAGAGTATATTTAGATTATTATAGTATTACTTTACTTTTTGTATTACTTTACTTATGCATAGTTGCACATTGAAACCTAGACCTACCATCTGAACAAATTCCAAGCGAGACCGACAACTAAAATCAAGTTGCATGCGTTACAGGCGAACTGAATGAGTTGGCCATGTTCTCGTACTGGTGTACCGTCCGCATCCGCAAAATCATATTGGCAACTGAACTATTTTTGAACATGGGAGAACATATTTTTTTTGAAATTTCTCCATGAGATTAACGAATGAAATTGTGACAAAGGAAAACGTATTATAAAATCAGGTGGAACGGTTGTAGTGATAGGAACATGCATTGAAAGGTCATTTTGCGCACGCAAAAAAATGGTTTTATGTATATTCAAGCAATGCCGCTCATTGACTTTTCACGGGAAAAATAAGAGAGAAACATCAAAAACGTCTGAAGAAACTTTTCTCCTTGAAAACGTCAGAACAGCTGCGTCGATACGCGCGACGAAGGGGACAGGCGGAAGCGAGAAAGAATAGCTCAGAGCGAAACACAGACACCGTAACGGTGAGCCTGCGTAGGTCCATGGGGCGTACGCTGATCCACATCCTGAGCGCTTGCCGTTTCTTCTCGCTCTGGTCCCAAAGAGTGATTCAACTTCCACGGGCTGCGAAACCGCACCTACATTATCGGCACGATTGGTCCAATTTTTCAATCACAAAATGTGCCTTTCGAGTAGAGATTTTGAACGCTATTCAATCAACAGTTTTAAGTTCACGTCATCCATCCAGAAATGTTTTCAATCATTCATTTGATGATGTCTTCTTTGTGGTAGAAATTGCTGTTAATTCATTGGAACAATCCATGCCGGTAATAAGGAACTGTCTTGTTCATCATCCATGCTCGTGGGCGAGTTTTCTCGTTGATGTTTGCCTTCTGCCGTTCCAGTGGTTAGACCTGTCTTGTTTTCTGCTGACGTTCAGGCGCCGAAGTGGGATGTGTATGCCTCCCTCCCTCAGGATTAAAGGTTTATTAGCTTGTTGGAGCAGATAAACCTGAACAAATAACATCGACCAGAAGCTCAAAAACAGAAGTGCATTAAAGACAAACAGTCCCAGAAGGCAGGGCGTCGGTTCGGAGACGGCTTGCATTCTCTCGGCTGAGATTCCAAGTTCGAAGTTGTTCAGCCAGGCTGGTCAGAAACGTAGAAAAGTGTGAGCCGAACAAAAAAGACCACATTTAGAGGCCGCTAGGGAGGCAATCGAATGTGGCGTTGTCAGACAGATCAGCCGAGGGAGTCGCAGCGTGTTGTTCGGACCACTGCCACCCTCCTGGGAACTGTTGCTTTAAATGAGATACCAGATTCTCCGCGTCTTCTTCAAATTTTGCGAAAAATTTTACCGCCTTCTCAAAAATTCCAGTCGCTCAGAAATCGACAACTCCCTCCTCAAATTCACAAAATACAATTTTGAATATCAGGAAGACACTGTTCCCTCTTTCTGATCCTCATAATGGAACACTGATACTGCTGATTGCCTGATATTATATCACTTGAAACCGTAACTTCGAAACTTGTTCGAGAAGTTCCACTTCCAGGACATTAGATAACTTAATGCTGTTCACACCGAGGAAAAATAGTATCTTTGATAAATACAAAAATTACCTATACCAAGATGCCCGACATCACAGTGTGTTGGGCATTCACAATTGGGAAGCCCACTTCGAGATTCCACACATTTCGCTCCATGATGGCATTCCAATGTGGAACAACTTCTGAAAATAGAGGTTATTTTAAACAAAAATTTCAAATAAGTAGTACTACTACTGGTATAGTACTGCAATGCGGATTACTAATGGCGACCCTCTACGCTGACGACATAGCCCTGATAGCAGACAACAGAGAAGAACTTCAGGGCAAGGTGCAGAAATGGCAGGAACTGCTGGCAGAAGGTGGGCCCCGGCTGAATGTCAAGAAGCCCAAGTTCCTGGGCTCTGAAGAGGGCACAGAGGCGATCCTGGGTGGCCGTGGGGAAAGTTTCGAGAAAAAGGGAGGCGTCCGACACCTGAGGAGCGATCTGGCTGCTGACCGTAGCGTGGATGTCCCCCAAGAGGCCCGTCACGTGGCGACGCCTAACCGCTACAGTACGCGCTGCGACTCGTCCTTTGCCGCGGCGTGCGTCCATTCCTTTGCGCGTGCGACGGGCCTCTTGGGGGGGGGGACATTCCTGTAGTGTGGATTAGGCGGGCGAAGGCTCTGATCAACGCCGCATGGATGAATGGAGAGAGTCCACTGGAATCCTCTGCGATCGAAGGTGCTCCAGAACGAAAGATATCGAATAGGGTAAAGCCTGCGAGTGCTAAGCGGCAGCGAATGCTGACCAGTGGACGAAAACCATGACTGGAAGTTTCAATCCGCCAAAATGAGGATGCCGAGACGGCCTGCGGCTGGATGCAAGTGGGTAGGGCCAGAAACGAGTATTGTCAGAGCGGTCATGCAGAATTGCCCCTGTCCAGCTGAAGGTACGGGAACAGCGTCTGCGATGGTATGGGCACGTGCTAAGGAGGCCACAGGACCACCCAATAAGGAAAGCAATGGACTTCGAAGCGCAAGGCAAGCGACCGCGAGGAGCCCCAAAGAAGAGGTGGAAGGACGTGATCAAGAAGGACCTAAGTGAAATCATGGCCACAGCAGAGGATGCCCTGGACAGAGCAAAGTGGCGACGACTGACAAAGACAGCGGACCCTGCGACTGCGCGGGACTAACGCTAGGGAGATTAGGAAGGTATGCATCTCTTCCCTGAGGCTCGTGCCCATGTTTCGAAGGACTGATGACTCCAATTTGCAACAGCTACTCTGATGTCAAGTTGCCGCAACCTACTACGTGTGATGGGAAGACGGAACGCGTGGCGCATCCAAGAAAGACCAGCCAACGTGTTCAACCTTTTTTCGCTTCATCACGACATCGAGAAATCCTCGTTAGCCCACCCTGCTTCAGAGGCTATTATGGACTAGTAAGCCGCCACTTTATAACAAACAAACACCAACGGAAAGTAAGAAGAGGTTCTAGAGATTCCCCTACCTTGTTACGCGCGTCTACCGCCTTTGATATTCCATCATATTGGAAAAATTTCCCTCGCTACGCCCTTTTCTTCAGTGAACTTATGCTTTCTAACTTATGTTATTGGGATTTGGAAGAATATAACGGTGTTTTTGGATGGCATCAAATACATGGCGTCGGGGCAAAACGAGAACGCAGACCTCGGTGCACGGAACTCTTCTTTCTCCACGCATCCAGAAGCTGTCATAACGTAGTCGTCCATACATCGGTCACATGTCTTACCACGAGCACCTCGGGAGCACTCACATCTGCCCGTAGATTGTTCACAGTCAGATCGCGAAGAGCCGAAGGCAGAGCAGCCGCATGCTGAAATCACCGAATGTCATGACTTCTTCCACATTTTCTCCACGAATGAGAGGACCCAAAACAGCATCGAGGAGGGCCGCGGTGGCATTGGTTGCCTATGGATCGATTCCTATCAACCATCATTCGAAATGGCTCTACTCTCAGTTTTTCGAAATGAAACTTTCCAGAGAGGTTTTTTTTTTACCGTGACCTACGTTTGCATGACTGGGCCACCGGCAGCAATCAAGTGCAGACCCCAGAATCCGGGCAGACAATGATCGCACTTGGATCCACCAACGCCAGCTCGACATCTGGAAAATGGAAATGTGGCTTAACCCACTATCCGAAGATGGGTCTCCATTTTAGTAACTAAGTACGTAGTAAAATTCTCAGCTCTTTATACTCATTACTGTATAAAGTTGGCAGGCTTACGGGCCTGGTGTAGGCGTGCTCGGAGCAGAGAAAACTGTCCACTGACGGACTGGAAAGCGGCAAGGTCATGTTTTATTGTACAAGGATGGTCACAACCTCGTGGAGCTAGATATCCTTACTCTCCTCCGCGTATGTATGTGAAGGAAAGATCACCAAGAAGGGAAGCTAGAAGGATTGTCGATGAGATTTTGCCGCCTGAGCTTGAAGATGTACACCACATCGTAAAGTTGTATACGGTTGTAAGTTCAATTAAGGGCGCGTATCGCAGGAATACGAGGAGCAGCTCTAGGACTAAATCTTAGCAGATGTGCCGGAAAAGAATGAAGAGTGAATGAAATCGGGGGAAATTAATATCGCTCACGCATGTAGATACTCCCCTCCTCCACCTTAGGCCTAGTCCCACTTTTAACAGAGAGAAGACGTTTTACGTGATCTTAAATGCGTTGCCATAACAATGCCCCCTCATATTGGATCGCGCCTTAAATAAGTCCTCCCAGGCTCCATTATGATCAAAGCCCACCTTCATGCAGAACACATTATGAGATTCCAATGCGAAGCACACTAGTCTTTAGATTGAAAACAATGGTTAAGAAGCAGATACGTTCCACCGTTGCCTCCGAATTCCACAAAGGGTTCCGCCAGGGTAATCAAGCCCTGCAGTTTCTAGGAGTCGGTGAGTTTTTATGAAACAGTCTGACAGGACAAAGTTTCTGATGGCACATAGGTGGTATTGATTGATCAGGGTGGGTCGTCGCATCGACAAAATGCCTTGCGTTCATGAGTAGAAGCCGGAATGCGTGGCGCATCACGGTAAATAATTTAAAATGGGCGTAAACGGTTTAAGTTCTTAGGCATAATATGTTGTGCAAAAGTTTTATATTTTTGGGCATAATATTTGTGCAAAAATAGAGTACTATAGCAACATTAATCGCTATAGAAAACCTTGCATAGTAATCATAGCATCATCAAGAGAATTTCTAGCTTTTTTCTGAGGCTCACCTGCAATTGCCGTCCTTATCACAATGTGGCCCAAATGCACCGAGGCTATGGCAATGACATGCGTCTGAAATAATTGAAATTTAAAGTAAGACGGATTAGAGGCAGAAAGTCATAGGCCTTTTCTGGAAATTCGCGAAATAGCACCAGCAAATCAAACCAGGATTTCCAGGACCGGCACTACCGCTGGCAGGGTCAAGCGTTCATGGCAGTGAATGAGGTAAGTGGTCGTACTTTACCCTTGAGACGGCTCCAGTTTCAGAAGATTTCTTGGGGATGAGTTGGAATGTGTCAGCGGGGTTTTCCCGTTGGAACGCTCAAGGCGAATATGGAGATTCGGTGACTTGAAAGCCGCCTACTTAAGAAGACCCTCCACCCACTGCAGGTGGGTTTCCGCTCACATCAACGGTGAGGTAGTACTTAATACATTGCAGTTTTACACCAACTTTTTTGCTTTGTGGGCTTTATAATAGGCGAGTTGTGAATTTTTCCACCGAACACCACCTACCCGAGAACGCTCGACCACCAGAAGAACTGTACGGTTGCCCTAGATGAGCCTGAAATCTCAATGCACACCTTTGCGCAACCATTCCTGGTCTCTGGGCTGTTCTGCATTCAAATTCGAAAATTTCGCCGTTGGCTTTGTTCAGTTCGGTGCATGCCACGCCCATTGTGGGCGTTGTGGGTTCGGGGTTCCTCATAACAAATGTGTCTATGTACCTCATGTCCCATGCCCTTGCTGTCCCAAGGCTGACCCTGCTCCTCCTGGTTGTTCCATCAGTAATACGAATTTCGTGAACAGCTGCCCAAAAGCCAAATAGCTAGATTGCAATAAAAAACATACGACTTTGAAAATAACAACTGCAAGTATAACTAGAAAGATAGGCAACCAAAAGCTCAGTAGGAAGCCTTCTGCATCAAACAATAAAAACAGTCGAAATAAAATATTCTCGGCTTACGCTCATTCCAAAAAACGAAGACGGTGCAAAATCTTGTGAACACCCACCTCCAGCAGCTGCCATAGCCGAATGGCACTGGGTTAGTGGACTACTGGATCGGAGACACCTCGCTGGACACGCGCGCCAACGGACTTATGACAAATCCCGAAGCGTACAAATACACCGTCTTCTCCACAGACACGGCAGAACTGGCGGTGGATGAGGACATGGTGGAGCAGGACAGACGCATTTTCCACCACGACACTCTTCACCGAATCCGCATTCAATATGTATGCACGCATCTATAACCATAATACTTTTAAGTATAGAGAACAACAAATTTCAAAAATAAGATTAGGCTGATCACAGCCAAGGAAAATTCAAAATTGCATGGGATTTTCCATCAGGGTGAAGAGCAGTCGAGGATTCGTTCGACGACTCGTCCGAGGATCTTTCGACCTATTCAAACACGCTCTCCGGCGAGCATTCACTTTCGTCGCGCGCGAGCCGTCTGTGCTCCCCGCGTTCACTCTAGACACTATTCACACACAGCAGAGAGACAGGCCTCGAAGATTCCCTCTACGTTAATTCGCCCTGTCTTCACGTCACTTGCATATCCAATTATCTGCTAATCCATACCCAGAAATACCCTCATGAGAAGTAAAAAAACATGGCTATCACGACCCCAGTGGGAAAGATAAAAATAACAGTTTCGTATAACTTCGTATAACATTTTCCTTCGAAGGCAACCACTATGAATTTCGTCTGCTGACAGGCGCTCTTCCTTAGATGGCACTCCTGACGAATATGTGACCCCGTCCGTTCCACACACGGGTGTTGATCCTGTCTGAAATCAAAGCAGGAGCCATTTAGCGAGTTTCGAGGCTCAATAAGAGTAATTTGAGAAAGAAATAAGAGGTTGACATGATTCCTTACTGATGACGCGTTTTTGTTACACTCGGTAGGACAACGGCACTCAGCTTTGCCGTTCTCTACGATACAGGTTGAGTAGTACTGACAAGTTCTTCTTCGCGCATCCTTCTGAAAGGTCAAATTGATTGAAGAAATAGCAGCTGAAAGTACGTGGTTGCAGGCTTACCACAAATTCCGTTGTACTTGACGAAGAGCGTCTTACCGCTGTCGCAGGCTGCTTTACGCATTTTGCACTCATTCGGGTACGTACGACCGTCACTAGCACACACCTCAAAGCAGATATTTTCTTGAGTAAAAATGGAAGCAACTCTTTTTAAGCGGCCCGATATAAAGTTTGTGACAAAACTGAAGGAGTGGACACAATGGCAGGAGGCTGGAGTGACTTTAGTGACTTTAGTCATTGAGCGTTAGTGATGGAAGGGTACTGGGAGGTGGTGAAACAATGACCGATTTGTGGGTCCACCAATAACCATGCTCCTCAGCCCGTTGCGGTATGTTCCACCAAAACGTTAGTGACGTTATCAAAACCATTCCGCTCTCCAGTCATTGTGTTCCCTACCTTTAAGTTCATAAAATTTTGTGGTGAACTGAAATTGTGTCTTGGTTAACTCTACTGAGTTCGAAAAAAGAAAGGCAGGAAGTTACCCCTTCCCTCTTTTTTTTAGCTTAGTACCTGAAATGTCTATCTAAAGTATCTTCTAGTGAGAGGAGGACAAACTGACTGAAATTCGTTCACATCAAAATTTGTGCAATTAATCTGACGCATAGCGCGGCAGCGGCTGCCCAAATCAGTTAGCGCGAGAAATAGCACCGAGCTTATGTTTAGCTGAATATTTCTGTGGCTCGATTCTGATATTACTAAATGGCACTATTTCGGAACTCCCCGTCGACGTGCGTTAAAGCGTGCGTTCAAAAAAACTGTAAGAACTGCGAGCCACTTACCTCTCTGAGTTCGTCCGTGCACTGAGGGCAGACACATGATGGCTTTTCATTGACTACCACACAGGTTAGTGGAGACTTGCATGTGAACGAAGCGCACAGACCTTCTCCTAGAACAGTCTTTGAAATAAAGATAGGAAACGGGTAGCACTAGTAACAAACAGAGTTCAAGACAGTTTTTTCTCGGGACGGTCCTAATCCCACAATTTTGGACCAACTGTTCTTTCAAACCCGCAGACCCATACCGTACATTGAAAACTGAACGTACCACATGGTCCCCGATGACGCACGGCTATGTGTGCCTGTTCCATGCAAGCATGGCGATGCACTTCACACTCGTTGTCGTACGTGATCCCATCCTAAAGAAAGTAATTGTCATAACAGTGGATTGGATGTGAGGCGGGGGCGGTGGTAAATGGCCCATTTTTCCACACGCACGCGGCGGGGGTCAGATCTCGGATCGAACCCAGGCCAATTTGCTTTCCATCCCTTTGGGTCGGTCAATTGGTACCAGACTTGTCTGGGAGGATAAACACTGACTTGTACATCGGCTGGCCCCCGCAAGTCATTGTATAGGCCACATCGCATTCAAACGCTACTATGTTCAAATGGAAGTAGAATGCGTGCCGCATCCTCAAAAAGGAACTGGTTTACGTCGGAAGCTCTGTCCTTTATCCTCTAACCCTATAACTAGTGCTGGCACACATGTGTACCACTTCCGTAATC